TAGGATCGTGAGTCGACGAACGTCGATATCTGAGATCATGCATAAGACCCGTGTTTCCTTAATTGAGTCGAGCATGGATCTCAATTTTTAGGAAAGCAAGCGCAGACCGCCCTGCGCGTTAATCCTATACAAACTAGCCCTCGCCCCCTGGTCTAAATAAAGATCAAGGGGCGTTTTATTAAAAGCTGCTCCAAGCGATGATCGCATCGGTCCAGTTGCCATTAAGCAGGCAGTCCTTTGTAAACTATTAAGTCTGTCCGCAGTCGTCTTTTGGTTGTCCTTATTACACAAGACAATGGAGGGGTAGTTGATAATCGGCCTCACTATACTGTTTGCTTGTTCGCAACCCACACAATTTTAGTACCGCAAAAGAACCCCCCCAGCACCACCCATTCCCCCCCACTTTCAGCGCCACCACTCTCAGCACCACCACTCCCAGCGCCACCCCTGCCAGCACCACCACACTAGGAACGACACCTCACTCTTGTTAATACGACATGTGTTTCGCCTCTACACGGGGCATCCTCAGATGAAGTAGACTCTGCGGAGGCTGACACTACCTTCGTCAGAACTAATCCCATCACTACTACTCCTAGCACTCTCCCTGATCTCCACACGCTGCTATTTATACAACTCGTTGATCAGCGAGTTATATAAATAACAACTGCTTCGGCTCGCCGCTCACTTAGCCTTTAGCCACCGCAGAGACTACTTCACCTGTGGATGCCTCACGTGTCACGTGTTTCGCCTCTAACACGTATCGTATTATCGAGAGTGGTGTATCGTCCCTAGTTTGGCGGTGTTCGGTGTGATGATACTGGGAGTGGTCGCTACGAGGGAGTAGTGCAGTTGAGAGGTGTGCTTCAACTGAGTAGGCCACGTCATTTTATTATATTACGCGAATATGAGCAAATTAAGTTCTAATAACTTCAACCACATGGATAGAAAAATGCCCGAGAATCTTGAGTCAAATTATGTTTTGAACACGTTTAATTTTCCTGCCATGTTCACACCATTATTGTTGTACCCTTGATCTCGAAAATCATTTATGTCTAAGTCAAACACTTGTACAATTGCATCAAGAAAGAGGACAGTAATTCCTTTTTCTGAAGAGTCACTGGCTTGTACGAGTAAGCAACAAAATACTCGTGCTTTGACTTCCTAATTAACGTCAACAAAACTGAATGTTAGTGATAAAAGTGAGTGAAATGGCGCCAGGCGATAGGGACGCCACTGGTACATCCAGTGGAACCACCTAAGGTGGTGAAGTGCATTGATTTAACAAAAGGCTCGTGATTTGAATGTATTGTTGCTGGCAACTTATTACACTCTTTCAAATAAAGTTGAACACGTGGTCAATCAGATTAGTTACATTTATAGCTTACGAGTATATTAGCACTTCAAAATCTTTTGTTTGTACGAAATTCGCGATATGAAAGTTTTTTTTACAAGCGTAAAGCGGGCATACCATACAATATTCCATACAATAGTAATGGACATCATGGATGGGACTAAGATGGAATGGCTCATAGCTTGTGATTAAGCTGTCGCTCTATACCCTTTCAGCTGAAGAACAGCAATTAATACAAAGCCGCTTGCGCCAGAAAAAGGTAAAAGAATGATATCGCTCCAGACATATCTCTAGATAGAACAGAAGTTCTGTGGAGGTCAGTCTAGTAGTGAAAATCTATATACGTTGTAAGCTATTTTAGTAGAACGTAGTGTAGCTACCTTGGGGTTCGTGACAATAAAAACTGGCGATTGAATTACCAAAATTGAAACTTTAATTACACAACACCAATTACAACTTAAAACACGCTAATAATAAAACACAATTGTACTACTGATCACTTTAGTTTGCAGTTGTATCTCTTCGAAGTATTCGCTTGAATCGCCAATTCAATACTGATCCGGGTCGAGGTCACATCTAGAATATTCGAGTACATACCGGTCCCGACTGACTGGGTGTAGAAAGTTCTGGCCTGAAAATCTCTAGAAGGGTCTTGACTCTCCTAGTTCTGCTACACGATACTATTGGGCGCTAGTGGTAATTGATGTCGCCATGTACCGGGCATTAATTATGGCGCGCAACAGTAGTAAGCATTCACGTTGAGTGGTACATATTCTTCACTTGTAAGTAACAGTAGAGATAATCGACGGCGAAATAATCGATGATTTAATAATCAATTTTGTCGATATCAGTGAATCGATTAGTCGCAATCATGATATCGATTAATCGAAGAGAAATTCTAGGCTTTTTGTTAAAATAGATTCGATAGATGCTGAGATATGCGAAATACTGTATTCTCGGTAAGTTTAAACAATAAAATTATCCAACAAATAAAATGAATAAAACTACAACAAATAAAATGAATATATATGTGGTAGAGCCATGCTGCAGTTATATTACTAGTAGGAATACTTGTAGCACGAATGGGTCGGCTCAACTGGGGAAGGACCACGCTCTCACGGAATATCAGCGTGAAATAGTGTATTTCGTATCGTGAGTGTAGAGAACCGGAGACCCTTTTTACTGGAAACGAGGCATTCCATCTTAGTCCTCACGGGTGACAACGCATCTGCATTTTGTTTTATAATTGAGGCTACATGGGCCGCAGCAATTACTTACCATTAGGTGGACTGTGTACTCGTTTGTCACCCTATTCTATAAAAAAACTAAAAGAAAAATATTTATTCAGTTTATTTATTGAGTTTTAATCAACATTTTCCATTTCCATTGACTTTCATCTATTAATCACAAAAAAATTAACCTAGAAAGATGAGAACCAGTCTTCTCATATCAGTAGTGATCTAGCCACTCTAAAAATAGTATTTTAGAAGTAACTGATGTTGAAACAATTGATAAGCAATTAATTGCCGTTTTGTAATCAAAGAAGTATAACTCCCTTTGCAACTATGTAAATTTCCAAACTAAATACAGCTACAAGCAACAAAAAAAAAAAACAAACTAAACCACAGATTGCTGCTAGGAGTAAAAGTTTGCTGTTGTCGAATGAAATGTCACTTTTTTTCTACTTGAAGTCATCATCATCATCATTACAGACTTTCACAAGTCCACTGCTAAACATAGGCCTCCCCCAAGTAATGCGACAAAGCACGGTCCTGAGCCCACTGCATCCATCGACTTCCAGCATGTCTTACCAGGTCGTCACTCCATCTAGTGGGGGGTTGTCCTACACTACGCCTACCGGTACGAGGCTGCCACTCGAGAACCTTTTACCCCATCGGTTATCGGTTCCTCGAGCTATATGGCCGGCCCATTGCCACTTCAGCTTACTAACCCGTTGGGCTATGTCGGTCACTGGTTCTACTGCGGATATCCTCATTTCTGAGTTTATCACGCAGAGAAACCCCGAGCATAGCTCTCTCCATAGCTCGCTGAGCGACCTTGAGCGTCCTCATACGGCCAGCAGTAAAGGACCACGTCTCAGATCCATAAGTCATCACTGGCAACAATCTAGTTTTCAAAGTTTGAGGTATACCTGACGAGAAGATGTCTCGTAATTTCCCGAACGCAGCCCAGCCGAGTTGAATCCGTCGGTTGACCTCTCGGTCGAAGTTGGACTTACCTAGTCGGACTATTTGTCCCAGGTAAACGTACTCGTCAACAACTTCGAGCCTAGTGCTCCCAACATCTACCGGCATAGGTGTGATATGCACATTAAACACGATCTTTGTTATGTCCATGTTCATCTTAAGACCTATCCGTTGGGAGATATCATTGAGGTTATTGAGCATATTGCTTAGCACCTCCAGCGATTCTGCTATAAGGACTATATCGTCGGCAAATCGAAGATGAGTGAAGTACTCGCCATTGATGTTAATACCGTATCCTTTGCGGTCCAGTAGCTTGAAAACGTCTTCCAATGCAGTGGTGAAGAGTTTCGGGGATATCACCCTGTCTTACACCTCTCTGCAGTTGGATAGGTTTCGAACTCTGGTTCTGTACTCGGATAGCCATAGTACCTACTGTACAAACACTTCAGCACTTCGATATACTACTCAACTTGGCACCCGAACTGTAGCACCGCCCAAATTTCGACGGAATCAAAGGCTTTCTCATAGTCCATATACGCCTGGCAAAGTGGCAGATTGTACTCTTTGGTCTTCTGTGTATGTATGTTGTCTGTGGCACTGAAGCCTTTTCGGAAACCGGCTTGTTCGGGAGGTTGGAAGTCGTCGAGTCTGCGTGCGAGACGATTCGTAATGACTCTCGAAAACAGCACGTAGATGCAGCTTAGAAGGAAAATCGGTAAAAAAAATATTCGATGTAATCGATTATTACAATTTAAGATTAATCGATCGAGTAGCAAAAATTTTACAAGCGAATAATCGATCTTTCGCTTATTTGAATCGATATCGAACATTGGTAAGTAACAGAAACTTTCGTGAACACAGTAATTTCGAGATTATGATTGCAATGGTGAAGAGAAGAATAATGATGAAAAGTGAAAAGGTGAAACAAATAAAATAAACAATTATTACGTTTAATTAATATGTAAGTCATGTGTATTTCTTACTGTCTAAATGCTAACATATCTATATTTATCGTTTCCAAAATAAATAAATAAATACAGCATAAAGCGGATGGCAAGCATTCTGTTACATATACTTACATATTTCAGGTTTCGCGTGGGATGTATCAATTAACAAAGTTCTAAACGATTTGTTTACACATTTTATGTAAAAGTTACTAACCTTAATTGCTATTTTTAAGTGATTAGGTGATAAAATAAATGGCTTTTTGTATATATATTTTTAAACTTTTAAGGTGTAATTGTAACAAGGAGTCGAAGCGCGCCTAAGAAAAGTATGAATTTCGCTGTTATTGATCAATAATTTTTAAAACACATTTTTTTTTAAATCATGTAACAACAATTGTGTATTGTTTGTATTTAATCCTACTTATATAACGAAATGAACTATAACACAGTGTACTTCATCGCAGAGTATTGTAATACAGCTAATTATATCCGTATCTATCTGCGTTCAAAAGGTTTCAGTACTTCAGTCGCTTTCTTCTTTTTGTCTAGGAATTTTTTTTCGTATGGACGGCGGTCTACTGTTGAATCCTCTGGTTCCAAAACAGGCTCCGGCTGGGGTTGGTCGGCTTGTTCTGGTATTTCAGGAGAGGCATCAAGTAGCTTGTATGAGCTTCGTCCCGCAGGGAGGGCGTGGAAGGCTTCTGCTAGATCAGGGTTGATTTCTTCCAGTGGTGTGTCCCCAGTTCTTATGTATACAGGCACGTAGCCGGGTACTGGAGGTAGAAACTGCCATTTCGGTCGGGCCTCTATAATTAAAAAAAAATCAATATTAATAACTCTTTTTAGATTTGTGTTTTTTTTAATTACGAGTACTTTTAAATTTTATATAGATACTTGTAAATATCGGAACCTCGTAGTAAATCTCATTAACGAATTAAATCAAAGTAGTAGTAAATAAATATTTTATGTACAAAAGTTCTGGGAAATCTTTTAAGGAGAAAAACATGTACACATCTTAATTTAACTGTAGCTGTGTGCTTGTTTTACTTCCTTCCAAAATGATGTTAAGTGAATGCTATAGTTTAAATCCATCCTGGATTAAAAATCTAGGTTAATATTTCCAATATGGACCATCGATTTCAAAGCCCATAATTTTTTAATAGATAGTACTCACTAAAAGAAAGCGATTTGCAAAGTTATAGGTTGCGGAAACTTACGGTTCATGAGATATATTTTTTTAAACTTTCATACAAATTGGCAAATAACACGCAATTACACCAATTACAAAATAAATTTGACAAATGATTGATGTCAAACGTCAATTAGTGTAGGGTTCCGAATATTTTGAAAGTATCGATACGTACTCGATACCAAGTATCGTATCAAAAGTATCAATACTACTTGGTATCGAGTACATTTCGTTAATTTTGGAGACTAGGGGGGTAAGAAGCCGGGAAGTTGTGCTCCGGCGCTCCGTGGCAGCTCCGGCGCTGCGGGATGAGCAGTGCCTCCGCCCTGGCGTAGGGAAGCACAGGCACCTGAGCTCGGTGCCTGCGCTTCCCTACGGCGGGCGGGCACTACTCTCCCCTCCGCGCCTCCGGGCTCTTATATACACTCTAGGGGTAGGGCAGACAAGACCACGTGGATAGTGGGGTGCTCTGATTCGGTTTTGGGTACTTTTTTGGAATTACTTTTTTTACTTGAAATAAGTAAGTCAATAAGTAAGTAAACACTTTATTGTAGTAAGAATTAGATAATACAGAAAGTTGCAAACAATGAAATACAAGTACTAAGATGGAACTTAAATAGAGTAAACTGTATTCTACTTTATATACATATATAATTGCATTTATCAGCTCTTCCTATGCATCTAATTGGTTTGTCATAACTTTTCGTCTCCAAAATTAACGAAATGTACTCGATACCAAGTAGTATTGATACTTTTGATACGATACTTGGTATCGAGTAGGTATCGATACTTTCAAAATATTCGGAACCCTACACTAACTGACGTTTGACATCAATCATTTGTCAAATTTATTTTGTAATTGCGTGTTATTTACCAATTTGTATGAAAAGTTAAAAAAAATATATCTTATGAACCGTAAGTTTCCGCAACCTAAAACTTTGCAAAACGCTTTCTTTTAGTGAGTACTATCTACAAAAAAAATATGGGCTTTGAAATCGATGGTCCATATTGGAAATATTAGCCAAAATCTAAGACGAAATGCCTCGTTATTAGTAAATATTTGTTGTTCTCTGGCATTGCGCAACACTGTATTATGTTATTAACATTTATGTTGGTATTCTATGAAAGCGTGTTGTCCCATTCGAGCTGACCCATTTGTGTCGCAGCTATAATAAGTCAAATACGTACGATTTAAAGATAGTATTTTAAACAAACGTTCAACCATCATCATCATCATGGGCTATCCCAAATTCACTTCTGAACACTCCTTCTGTATAGAATGCTTAATAGTCGTTGAATAAAAAAGTATGCCCAATTCATTAGCACATAGGTAAACGTAAACGTATAATTTAACATTAATAAATCATTTTATAACGATTGATTGTGAAAATTGAGTTCGACGTTTTGCTAGAGCTGTACATTAAAGAAACCAGTTCTAACTGTCAGTTATGTTCTACTATTATAATACACTGATATGATAGTATCTGCTTTTTGACGATTTTTATCTCTTTAAAACAACAATTCAGCATTATGTGAGCAACAATATTCGCTAATAATATAAATGCCGTTTATTTGTATACACAAGAGGGTGCAAGGTACCAAAAATAATTAGCCTTCTTCAGAAAAAGGAGGTTTAAAATCCACTGTATGATTTTTTTGTATGTTACGCGATATCTTCGTCAATTATAAAATGATCTTACTTCAGGGGCAGTTCTATATAAAATTTTTACTTCTAAGGTTGGCAAAATAACGGATGAAGTTTTTAATGGATCTATTTAGACGCATTGAGATTGTGATATTGCTAAAAAAAGGCAAAGAAATAGCTATTTATTAAAAAGTTAATATCAAATAACTAAAAACAATAAAACATTTTGTGCTAAGACATAGTGTATAGTACAAGATATAATGGAAGGGTCGCCTCAGGATGATTAAAATAATAACTACTATCACTTATATCATCATTTTTTTATTACAAGCTATTTTATATGTTAATAACTACCATTGCAAAACAATAAGGACGCTATATCGAGTTGGTCCATGAGCGCAATTTAACTTAAATCTCCTACTCGTTAGTATTAAAACAATATGTTATTTATTATAGAGACATTTCCATTTGTTAGGAATGTAGTTGCTTTTCAAATTCTGTCGCCGTAGACTCAGGCATCCTGGACTCTAGTGTGTAGTATTATAGCATAGTAGTTCATAAACGCTCGCTTAACAATTTCACTATCATGATGAGTTTGATGAGATTTTTTGCGATTTTGTTAAGTGCTGAATAACTGATGAATGAAAACATCGTAAAAAACCTGCATGTCTGACAAATTAAAAATACTTCGAAGTCATTTAAAGTCCATCAAAGCGAATTTTAGTATAGCGGTTGACTTTCCTTGCTATAAAAACCTTAGAAATGAGCTCAGAAGCCTGTGTGTAGCAGTTACGAATGTGTAGAATATGTCATGGGGAAGATGAAAAAAATGTCGGCTAAGACCGAGGTGCACGAGTAATCAGGCGAGCCGCTCGTTTGCCCGCAATTCTATAAAAAAAAAATAACCGATGAAAAATAGTAAAGAACGCTCCACTGCTGCGCATAGGTTTACCATTACCGATACAGCCTATATATTATGTCAAAAATTGCAATTAACAATTTCATTAGTGCCGCTTTGCCCGCGTACTGTATAATTTACAGCGATCGCTCAGCCCCTGAACTACCACGGGAGCGCATGCTACTTATTTCCGACAGGATTTCGAACTAATAAAGCAATCATTTCGCTGCGCTGTTCCAAAGCCTGCTGGCGGGCTTCGCATATCCTGAAATATTTTATTTCTTAGACATGCAGGTTTTCTTACTTTTGTCCTCCGCTGTCGTGCACGTGGTAAATTTAGCACTTGAAATTGCAATTAATAATTTCATTGGTGCCGCCGGTTATTGCCCGTTGTAGCCTATAATATACAATACTAATACAATATACAATAAAATAAACAAAATACAACTTGTAGGTAGTAGTGTGAGCGTGGTCCCTAAGTTTAAACCGAGGGAATTACTTAGTAACTATTAACTAAATTAAGACAATGAGATTTTTCTATAGAAATAAGAAATAAGTTTCTGTAGATAATTTGGAGTTTTGCCGATATCTCTACTTAGGTAGTATAAAACAAAGTCGCTTTCCGCCGTCTGTATCACAAACTACGCAACGGATTTCAATGTGGTTTCATTAATAGACAGAATGATTCAAGAGAAAGGTTCATAATATGTTATGTATAATACTTTTGAGTTACCGTTGAGATCCAAAACTCACTCTTGCGAAGCCGTAGCGGATTGTTAGTGTTGATTAAATGGAACATCTAATCAAATAGATAGTCATACGTAATGCAAATTTTCATATATCATCTATTATATTATATTTCTTATATCATATATAATTTTTTTTTATATAATCCTAATCATCAAAACAACGCAAAAATTGTTAGCTTGGGTTTCGGCAAATTTATATTCTAGGAACAGGTTGTTTATAACCAAGAGTGCGAGAAGTGCGTTTTTTTGTTAAGTTGCTCGTACTCGTAACTTCAAGAGTGAACGTACCTACTTAAGTAGGTACTCAATTCGTAACGCGAATCTAATGTTACTCTATGTTAAAATAAGCTCAGATCAATAAAAAGAAAAATAAATTATCACATTTTTACCGTGCCACTACACCCATAAGGTTGCGCAATAGTCTAAGCATTTAGGGGAGAAAGCGAGAGAATTAGAGAGCTTTTAAAATGAAATTATTACGAGCCGGTTTCATGTTGATATCGTTAATGTTAACTAATCTTTGTCTTAATTTAAAACTCAAACTCAAACATTTTATTGCGTTCATGTGGTTACATAAATAATTCTTATGTTGGATATATTAGAGCCAAACATGAGTTTGATTGATTAATTTAAAAAGATGAATTTAATTTTATTTACTTAAATTAAACATTACTTTTAGGTTGCATAAATATTTGCAATATTTACAAATCAAATCAAACAATTATTATTTTTCACCAAAAATCTCTTGACAACGAATAGAAACTTTTTTCAATTAAATATTTTTAAGCTCTCTTTGAAACTTATGTACAATGATTCTTCTTTTTGTAGACATTTGGGAATTTTATTATAAATTTTTGCACACATACCATATTTGAAACCTGATTTGAAAAAATGAGGCCGGGAGTATATTGAAAAAAGGTGCATATTCTTTTTAACAAATGTGCATAGGTGCTTCTAGTATATATATAATAAAAAAAAAAAAAACAAAAAGTGTTAAAAAAAAAAAAAATATATATATAGATGATAGATGCAAGGGTTAACATATTAATGAAATAAAGTAGGGTTTACAGCTGTCAGTGCTATCTATGTTTGTAATAATGCGGATACATTTTTTTTGTAAAATAAACTATTTATTTACATGTGTGCTGTTTCCCCACAGTAATATACCGTACTTGAGCCACGCATGGGCATAAGCATAGTGTGCATATTTAGTAACTATGCCTAGTTTTAATATTTAAAATAGTCACTGTACGTAAAGCACCGTTCATTTTTACTTATTACATACCTATTCTATCCAACACGTTTAGATACTCCTCACATTAATA